TTTCAGAGGTTTCAGTCCATGTTTGCTTAGCCTTGTTGCTTTGGGCTGGAGGCAACAACATTGTGGCTTGAGTATGTAGTAAAACAAAGCTGCTCATGTCATGACATCTGGGAAGGAAAAGGAAAGATAGGAAGAATCTGAGGGTCCAGTATTTCCTTCAAGGGCAAGCCCCCAGTGACCCAGCTTCCTTTCACTGGACCCCACCTCCTAAAAGTTCCAGTAGTACCACCAGACCAAGCCTGTAGCATAGGGGCCTTGGAGGAAAAGTTATGATCCAAATCATAAAATTAATTAAATTCACTTCTTATCAAAGCCCATGAGACAATTCTTAAAGGAAATTAGACGAGCCTCTCTCCCTAATGTATTTTCTGTTCATGCTCTGTCTTCCTCGTACTGTCTACTTTCTACCACGCCATGTATTGGTACCTTAATTCTAACTATAGGACCAAGATGGTTAAGGGCTTTATTTCTAGGTTTGTTTTATGTAGAATGATATTGGCAATTATATAATCTAATTTTTTATAAATTTTAATAATGTGAGAAAATTATATTATTACATTTTTAAAGAAAAATTCAGTTGACTTTTAAGAGAAATTAAAAAAAATATAGTAGTCTTTTATAGTTTTTGGTCTTGTCAATCTTTTAGCTCAGGAAATGGAATGAAGATTCTATAAATTACTATGAACTAAACCTCGTTAGTATTCTCCCAAATAAGGGTAACACCATCAAATGCCCTCTAATCTTAGGATATCCTGTTTAGTATTACTTTTAAAAGATAGACTTCCAAAGAAAATCCAACACTGATATGCAAGATGGGGAAATTGACACAGTATGTGACTTTTGATATTCATCTAAAGCAAAAATTATTATTGTATTTAGATATTTCACAATCTCCTCACTTTAAAAAATATTTTATATAATTGTATGTTATTTAGTTATTCATCTAGTAGGAACAATGAAATTATAAATATATGAAGAGAGAATTGTGCATAGAGGTTTCAAACTTGGGCTCTAAAATCAGATGCTACAGCTTGAAATGGCTTCCCCACTTAAAAGTTTTATGCCGAGGTTCTCAAACTTGGATTTTTTCATTTGTTAAATGGAAATAATGATAAGCCAACCTCATATGGTTGCTCTAAAGTGCATGGTACAGAAGAAATGTTTAGTAAATATTACTGTGTTTAATAATAACAACTCACAAAAACCTTTATATTGCAATTATTGACCATGGTCTTCTGTATTCTCTTTTTGTTCTTACATATACTTTTATATTCAACACTGGGGAGTCAAGATATGCTTAATATTATACATATATTTATTAAAAATCTAGCATTGTTTCCTATGTTTGCTCAATGTCATGTCATTTTTCTACAATATTATT